ATGGCTTTTTGCCTCATTAATTAAATCTTGAACCCTTTAAGGAAGTCTGTAAACTTGTTCACATTCAAGCAAAGCTCCATCCATGAAATGTAAGCAGTAAAGTGATCACTCCAATGGTCTGTCTTGCTTGAGCTTGGTGTGTTCCTCTTTTTGGAGCAGGACTGGAGATGGAGCCATTTTCCCTAAATCACCTGTTGGGAGAAAGGGTCGGGCTGTAACTGTTGGAGAACTTGGCTTTGGAGTAGGAAGAGTAGGGAGGGGCTGCCTGGTGCCCCTGGAGAGAAAGGGAGCAGCTGCTAAGGTCAGAGCAGAGCTGGTGTTCATAATCCTGGGAAGGAAAGTTCATGAACATTTTCTGTAATGATTTGCCTGGATTATAAAGTGCGTGACTGGCCAGTGGCCCCTGTTTGGGAGAGGGCAGTGTGAGATCCATATAGTGCCAAAGAAACCTTGTATGGAATTAGGCAGTGAAAGCTTTTTCACCTTTATTGACAGTGAAGGTGAAGGTTATTGATTTAGGCAGAATTTTTGAGGGGCCCGAGTCTTGTCTTGTGGATAGAAGTCCAAGAAAAATGGAGGAAAAACAGCACTGCATTGGCCGGGAATCGAACCCGGGCCTCCCGCGTGGCAGGCGAGAATTCTACCACTGAACCACCAATGCTACAGCTGCCTGCACAGCTGCCTGCACAGCTGCCTACACAGCTGCCTCCACAGCTGCCTGTGCCTCCCTGCCTGGCCAGCGGCTCTGCCGCAGGGAAACAGGGACCAAAAGGCTGGACGGACGAGCTGGGACCTGGAAGCAGTTCCGTAGGCTGGAGCTCATTCATCTGAGCAGGGTGATGCATTAATTATCTCTGGGTAACGAGCTGCAAGTTCCTGGGGTGGAGCAGGTATCGCGTATGGAAACTGGGTTGGCTTTTTATTAAGGCTCGTGCTGTTTAGGAGCATATTTAAATATACTGTTAATATAAAATTAAATGTATGGGGTATCAGCTGAAGCAGTGTGTGGGTGGCTGGGAAAGGTCCAAAATCTTGGCACTGTGTGTGGGTCTGGTGGGCAGCAGTTCTGTGCTGAGCTACCAGCACTCCTGGTCTGTGCTTAGCTCCTCTGGGCTGCTGTTCTGTGCCCTGCTGGGGATAAATGACCTGCCCTGTTGGAGAGAGGGTTTGAAGACCTGGTAACTTCTTCTCTGCAAGCAAACAGCTGCACTGGGGTGGCCCTTGAGAGCCCATCCTGGGCTTAGAGCTCCTGAGTGGTGTAGGAGGCTGCTGGCTGGAGCAGCAGGAGGGCAGTGAGCTGCTGTTGGATGTGAGCAGGGCGGAGGGGAGAGCTCTAGTTTCACTTGTGGATCCTGTCAGCATTCCCCATTTCATTACCACTTTCTCTGGTGTTTGTCGTGGCTGAAAGTCCCCGTGGGGAACCAAACCCCTCAGCATTTGTATCGGGCAGAACCTAAAACCCCCCCGTGTGCTCTCCTCTCCTCTCCCCAGGCTGGTGCGAGAGTTTGTGGCTCAGAACAACACATCTCAAATCAAACACGTCATCCAGATCCTGTCACAGGAGTTTGCACTCTCCCAGCACCCCCACAGCCGGAAAGGGGGGCTCATTGGCCTGGCAGCCTGCTCCATCGCCCTGGGCAAGGTGGGTGCCGTGGGGTCTGGGGCTCGTGCAGGTTGTGGTGTGAGAACAGTAGTTCCTCCTGGGTCAGTGTGATGGGGAGACTTGGGCTGGTGGCCCTGCAGCTCCCTGGCTCCCTCCCTGCCTCGCAGCGTTCAGCTGGGTCGTGTTTGAGTTTTCCCAGCACACCCAACTTCATCCTTTGGGCCCTGGAGCGCTTTCTGGCCTGGGCTACATCTTGGCAGCTCCCCCTAGGCGTGTTTAAAGTGCATCTGTCCATCCTGAGTCTCCAGCAGCTGGACTAGACTCAGCAGGTTGGTTGCTAATTCGTGTTAACAGAGCTGACAGGAGTTGCAGCCCTTCCACCTCCCCCCCCCAGCTCAGGCAGCCCCGGCAGCACGAGCAGGATCTTTGGGAAGGAGGGCTGAGGTACGGGCAGGATGTTTGCAGTACGTGCCAGGGCAGTGCCATCTCTTCCCTGTGCCATGGTCCTTGGCTGAGCAGTCTCCTTGTGTCCACCAGGACTCTGGGCTGTACCTGAAGGAGCTGATTGAGCCAGTGCTGACGTGTTTCAATGACGCCGACAGTCGCCTGCGGTACTACGCCTGCGAGGCTCTCTACAACATCGTCAAGGTGGCCAGAGGCTCTGTCCTCCCGCACTTCAATGTGCTCTTTGATGGCCTCAGCAAGGTAAGAAGCTTCCTCTTAAACCCCCATGTGCTTTTCTTTCCCACACTTGAGTTCTGAGGCTTCTTCCCTAGTCCTCGACATCTCCAAGTCAAACAAACCGGGTTGTCCAAGGTCAGTGTTCCAAGTAAACTTTGACCCAGACAGGTCTGAGGGACAAAATGAGCAGTTTCCACACGGTTTCACTGATGCTGTGGGTGTGGAGTTCACTGTAAGATACCTTGCTCTCTGCTCATCCTCACCTCCAGGATGTATTTTCCTGCTCCTTGTTGAATGGTGTTCGAAAATGAGGCTGAGAAAGCTGCTGCAGGCGAGGTGGCTCTGCAGCACTACAGCTTTGTGGGGTCTGTAGGGTCAAAACCATGTCTATGTCTTTGCAGATTTTCACTGCTAACTTGTATTTGTCCCCTTCTTGAGGGCATGACTGGCCCATGAAAACCTGCATAGCAGGGGGAGGTGAAGTTTGCTTGGTATTCCCCTTAGGAAGTCTCTCCGGAGAATTTGGTGGAGCCTAATGAGAAATTGGAGATAAAGGGTCTTCCTCTCTGTCCTTCCCTGTAATGCCAGAGGAGAGCAACAGTCCTGTGAGCCTGCTGGGAGCTGCACTGCAGAGCAGGGAGCAGAGCTGGGACCCAGTGCTGCAATGGCTCTTGTTTCTGTCGTTCACAGCTGGCTGCTGATCCTGACCCAAACGTCAAAAGCGGCTCCGAGCTCCTCGATCGGCTCCTCAAGGTAGTTTTGCTCTCCAGCTGAGAGTCCTTGGTGTAGGCTGGAGGCATGTCCTGGCTGGGGATATGTCAGTCCCTGAGGCTGCAGGTGCTAAAACCATCCCTGCTCAGTCCTGTGGCTGCTGATAAAACATTTCTTTCTCTCACGGACCACAACCTCTTGGATTGAGGGTCTGGGGGCCTTTTAGGGTGGCTGGATGGAGGGGCTGGTGGGTTATCCCAGGGCCACATGTGCATTCAACTCCTGGGAACTGGGGGAAGCAAGGTTTTAGTCTGACCGGGTTTTCACCCTTGTCCCAGGCAACAGAAGGGCTGTTCTTCTGCTATTCCTTGCTCAGATGGGTCACTTTGTGAGCAGAGCTGCTCTGCTGCTGCTTTGGGGAGCAGGGCTTGGTTCCCGTTCCTGTTGTGTCTGCTGATGAGCTTTTACTGTCACAGACCTCCCAGTTCCTTTTTTCCTGCTGTTTAGAAGCGAGCAGCTCCCTCCCAGATCCTACCCTCACTCCTCTTTATCACACCAGTTAAACCAGTCTCCTGCTGCAAACCTTCCTGCTGGGAGATCAGCTCTGCCACACCGGGGTGAGAGACTCAGCCAGGCAGCAAAATCCACCAAGCGTGTAGAAAGAGCTTTAAAGGAAGCTTGGGGACTTCCCCACCCTGATACGTGTGGCTGCATCAAAAGTGCTTGCTCATGTGTGCAGCACACCACTGAGGCATGAGTTGGAGATGCTCCCATCGTCCTCCTGTTCAGCCAGGCTGCCACACAGCAGGCAGGAGCATCCCTCTCTGGGTCTTGCTCAGTCCCTGCCCAAGGGGGGGAATTCCTAGCTCATTGCCTGAATAAACTGTGTGGTTCCTTCTCCCCAGGTCTCATGACCTGCAGACTCGTGCATCAACTGGTTGTCATCTTTTTCCTGTCATGTGCCTTAAAAAGACAGGGTGGGGTGTCTGCATGGACATGGGTTGGCAGCCATCCCTCCTAACACCCTCTGCTTGGGCTCTGCAGGATATCGTGACAGAGAGCAACCAGTTTGACCTGGTGGGCTTCATCCCACTGCTGCGTGAGAGGATTTACTCCAACAACCAGTATGCCCGCCAGTTCATCATATCCTGGGTAGGTGCACGGGGTGCCACATGTTCCTGCCAGTCTGAACTCCAGAATATTGTGTCTCATCAGCTTCCTGTGTCTGGGCAAAGTGCAGATATCCACGGCAATGTGTGAGCTCAGGCACCTGGATTTTTTGGGGCAGGTTTTTAAGCCAGCCGAGTTTTTAACCTTCTTTAAAAGGGCAGTTCCCTGTCACCTTGCTGGTGCAGTCACAGGGACATCACACTGTGCTTCTGCCAACCTGTTCAGGACACTACACACCAAGTTAGAAAGTACAGTCAAAATGTTGCTTGTATAAATAGACATACTGTGGTCTAGAGGTTATAGTCTACCAAGGGACAGTACCAGGCTGCTTTCCATCACCCAGCAGTGATGGAGGGATGTTGCTCTCTGGGAGGCAAGGGATCCCCCCTTGCTTTCTCCTCTCTGTGCAGGGCAGAAGCTCTTGGTGCCTGGTTGGAGTCTGAGGAGATGCATGTCCCTGGACTCTCAGCTGTACCACTGCCATCCCAGGTCTGCCTGCATGTGTCTTGGCAGTCATTCCTGATTCCTGCGTTGTTTTACAGAGCTGTGATTGGAAATGTAGCAGTGCTGCAGGCTGATCACTCATTTCCTGTGCCAGCTCAGCTGCTTCCCGAGATGGGCAGCTCCACACTGTCCTTTTTTTCTTCCCCCCATCCCACACAGCTCAGCTCTGAATTCCTCAGTATCCTGCCAGATTTGTGCTGGTGATGTTAATCAGCTTCTCCAAAACTCACCTTTTCTTTCTTACTCCTCCCCGAGCTAGATCCTAGTCTTGGAGTCTGTGCCTGACATCAACCTCTTGGATTACCTGCCAGAAATCCTGGACGGGCTCTTCCAGATCCTGGGAGACAACAACAAGGAGATACGGAAAATGTGAGTGTGAAGGCTGGCGGGGTGTGAGGGCTGTGTCATGTTTGCTGTCCATCCATCACCCTCTTCCTTGGTTTGCAGCTCTTCTGTATAACTGCAGCAAAACCCTGTGGGTGTGGTGGGAGGCGGATCGGCTTGGGTGGGGGATCAAAGTGTCCTTGGCAAGGGCCTCTCCCGGCTTGTTGTGGCTGGGGAGGACACCCTGCTCTGTGCCTGGGGCACAGACTGTTTTGGCTTGGTTGAAGCCTTGACTTCACAGCCACTGTGCTGCTGGGATGGGGTACGAGCTCTCTGAAGAAGCAGCATGTGAGTCTCTCTCAGCAAGGCAGAGCTCCAGCCCAGCGTCTCCTGGGTGGAGAACAGGAGCAAGCATTGGGAGCTTGCTCCATGTATACGCTGCTGATTCCAAGACAGAGGCATTTTGAAGTGCAGGATTGGCTGTGTGTTCTCAGAGGGGTCAGAGGATCCTGGTGTTTTGTGCTGGGAGAGAGTGGCTGGACCTGTTTTGTGGGGCATAAGTAAGTGGCGAGACCAGCCTGGGCCTATCCTCCTGCCAAGCCCTTCTGGATCCTCTCTGTATCTTTGTTTCCCAGCATCCACATGCTGAGGAACCAGCACTGAAAACTTTGGATATTGGCTGCCCAGCTGCTCCCCTCTGTGCTCCCCATCCCAGGCGCCTCCATATCCACAGTGGCTGTGGGGGAGTTTTGGGAAGGTTTGGGGGGATCTGGGCAGTCATTGCCTCTGTCCTCACAGCTGTGTGCAGTCCCTGCTGTGGGGCAGGATGAGCTTCTCAGCCTCGTCCCTTCCTGGCCCTGCCCCTGTGGGGAGGCACTTCTGCCATGCCACCAGCACCCTTCCCTGTGACCCTGCAGGATTGTCTCCATAACTTCTCCCTGACTTCTCCATCCAAGGGGACGTGCGCTGACCAGCTGCTCTGCCTGTCCGCAGGTGCGAGATGGCTCTTGGGGAATTCCTCAAGGAGATCAAGAAGAATCCCTCCAGTGTCAAGTTTGCAGAAATGGCCAATATCCTGGTGATCCACTGCCAGGCAGCGGGTGAGTGCACAGGACCGAGCGGTGGCACCCAGCTCCTGGTTTGTGGTGGGAGGCAGCTCTCCCACAGTTGGCACTACTGCCCAGACACAACACAGGTCTGGCATCCTCCCAGAGCAGAGGGGCCTGAAAGAAAAATATCTGGCTGTGCATGGCACCTGTGGATATGCAGCACTTCTGGAAGGATCTCCCTAAGGGTTTACCATAACCTCTGGTGGCACAAGGTGCACAGGCCAGACAGTTGGATGTGTGTGGGCTTTGTGCCAGTGCTGCAGTGCAGCTCCTGTGGGTCTGCTGTGTAGGCAGTGGCAGAGGGTTACAGCTGCAGCTGGATGTGTTTCCTGAGAAGGGTCTTGTCCCCAGGTTGTGCTCATTGAGCTTAAACTGCTCTTTAAGCATTGCTGGGTGGGAGTGGGTTTCTTGGGAGATTGCTGGCTTTTCATTAAGCTGACACTGCTTAAGCCTAAAACCTGACCTTGCACGAACAGAGTGCCCCAGAGCTTGGGGAGGTTGTTAAAACCCCAACTCTAGGAACAGTGCTTGACCCAGATGCACAGATGCAATGGGTGTGACAGTGGAAGTGTCCTTATGCATTGGTAAGCTTGACTGAATACTTGTAAATGAGAAAACCTTCATTATAAGTTGAAGGGGGTTAACTCTAAAACTTAATGATTGTGTTTAATCTCAGCCTCACTGCAGATTCAGGTCTTAGTTGATCTCCTCTGGGACTGAGCTTTCCCAGGCTAGGGTCTCTCTGGATGGAGCAGAGGTAGCTCCATGCTTGCAGGTGGTCATTGGCTTACGGGGTTTGCTCAGCTGCCAGTGCTGTCCTTTCCCTCACCCTTGCTTGTCTCCTGTCTTCCAGATGACCTGATCCAGCTTACAGCCATGTGCTGGATGAGGGAGTTCATCCAGCTGGCTGGCCGGGTGATGCTGCCCTACTCCTCAGGGATCCTGACCGCGGTCCTGCCGTGTCTCTCCTACGATGATCGCAAGAAGAGTATCCTTGTAACTCGGAGCTGCTCCCATTCCTGCTACAGCAACCCACAGGGAAGCACCTGCTTCCTGCCCCTGGGGCGCAGGTCCAGCTGCATGGCTGGAGAGGGCCAGGAGAAGGCCTCCCTCCGAGTGCTAACACCCACACTGGCCGTTTGGACGTGAGTGGGGTTGCAGTAGCTGGGTTGGGGCAGCCCTGGTGGGGCTGTGGTGGCTTCTCCGTGGCTGGCACCTACCCACGTGTGTTCCTTACACTGCCTTCACTCAGACATCAAGGAGGTGGCAAACGTGTGCAACCAGAGCCTGATGAAGCTGGTCATCCCAGAGGATGATGAAATGGATGAGGCCAAACAGTCGATAGACATACCAAAGGAGCCCACCCCGGAGGAGTCCCTCTCCAAGCCAGAGGCAGCATCCAGCGGTGAGTCCCCATTGATCTGGACCACTAGAGGTGTGAGGAAGGTCAAGGGAAGGTTCTCAAGAGAAGTTCCTGAGTTGGTTTGGTGTCTTGAAGCAGCTCAGGACATGTGGGACCTCTCTACTTTCTTTGGACCTCTCTGCTTTCTATTTCGCAGATCTCTGCTGAGAGAGACCCGTTTGGTGCAGTCTTCTTAAGAGGGTCATTGGTCCAACCTGGAGCCCAAGTGGTGCTGCAGTGCTGTGTTCCCTCATGAGCATCCCCATCCCCTCACCACCCTCCACTTTGACTTAGTCATTAAGTTGACCTGAAAAAGATCATTTATAGTTCAAGAGCAGCTATTGTCATCCAAAGGAGAGCTCGGAGAGCTGTGTTTGTCCTGGGGGCGCATCAACATGCGCATGAAGGGTGTTGATGGTGGAGAAGGGTAAAGAAAGGGAAGGAGAAGGATTTTGGATCCTTTCCAAATTCATGGTCCTCTCCAGACTATCCTGTGGATATTGTCCCAGTCCTAAAATTTCCAGAACACAAAGGGCAGACGTTTGTAAGCAGACTGGAAGAGCTGGAAGAGGGTTCAGTGGAGAAGAAACTAAGCAGTCCCAGTGCACCAATGCCTGGAAGCAGCAGTGGCTTCAGCCCTCTGGCATCCCTTGGGTGCCGTTGTCCTGGCATGACTAAACACTGCTTCTGGCACAGCACGTCTTGGTTGTGCAGGTGTGCGAATTATGCGTGTGACAGTTAAATCCCGTGAGCTCAGCCGTGCTGGTTTGGGGCTGCACCCTCAGCCCGGTGCTCTTCTGTAACACACCCGCCAGCAGAAAACCCTGCAGTGAGAGGGAGCAGGGGGTGGAATTGAGACGGAAGGGTTTCCGTGTCCTGCTGCCCACGGGCAGGCAGGAGCAGGCCGGGGCAGCTCCCAGGGCAGCATTGGTGGTTCAGTGGTAGAATTCTCGCCTGCCACGCGGGAGGCCCGGGTTCGATTCCCGGCCAATGCAACGCTTGTTTTTCCTCCTTTTTTGCTTTGATTTCTGTCCATAACGTGGACCCAGACACCTCATAATCTCAGCCTAAGGAAGCACCTTAATCTTCAACAAAAGTGCAAAAGCTTTCACTGCCAAACGCCATGCAGGGTCTCCTTTTGGAAGGGATAAAGCAGAAAATGAGCTGCCATAGCACAGCAGCAAAAACTTTTCTTTTTTACTCCTCATTTGTCCCGAGAATACCTCCTTGTATTAAAATCTGTCGCAGAAGAGCTTTAAAACATCAACAGGAAACTTAATTGCTTTAATCTCGACCCCTCTGGGGTTAAATTTCACCTTGAAGCAGGCGGGATCAGGAAAAGCTGTGATGCTTTTCCCTCAGAAACTCTCAGCCCTGCTCCCTGGGAGTGCTGATGTGGCGGTGGCGCTGTCTGTGTGAGTAGAGGCTGTTGGCACAAGGGGGCACAAAGAGTCAAGTTCATCCTGCAGTGCTTTGTCACTGTGCTTGCAAGACCCAGTTTTAGCACCAAGCAGAGGCTGAAAAGCTGTTTGGGTGTCTTGGCTTCCACATGGAGTCAGGCTATGGCCAGGTGGAGATGTCCTGGGTTGGATTCCACCTTCCCTGTGTGTGTGGTATCTCGAGGTGTTGAAATCAGGACAGTTGAAGGCAGCTCTGCAGTTCTGGGCTACTTTCAGAATGATTGAAACCATTAGAAGGATGTGTCTGAGTCTTTGTTACAGAAGAGGAAATCCAGTTTGGGGCAGAGGTCTGAAGCTGTGCCACCTGCATTTTGCTGGGTAGGTGCAGTCCTGTACCAACTTCTCTGGCAGCAGAGAAGAGCTTGACAAGGAGTGTAAAATGCTCACTGCAGGCAGAAGTGATTCTTTGGGTCCCCAGGCCTTCAAACAATGGCTTGTGATGTCTTTGCAGAAGGTCATGTAGCTCTCCAGCCTCCCAGTCCTGCTGTCCAACTTCCCTGCCATCCCACTAACTGTGTCTCCTCTTCTCCTGCCCCCAGGGTCTTTGGATGCATCTGGTGACTCCAGCAACAGCAGTGTCTTCACAGTGACCAGGTAGGGTCTGTTTGTTGCTTCAGAGGGGCTTGACAAGAAGGGAAGGCTTCTCAGGGTACAGACAAAGACTGACAGATGCAGACAGAGCTGTGAGGAAGGGTGGGCTGAGCTGGGAAGCAGTTGGGGTCTCCTGGGTCCCAGTAGGGTGGATGCCTGGGGATGCTCTAGGGCTTGACTGCTTCTCTTTAATGCTTTTGCACCAAAATGTCTTGAGTTTGTGGTAAACCGAGGTGGTTTTTCTCCTGAAGAGACCTTGCAAAGCCCCCCAGTGAGGCAGCAAGTGTCTGTGCACTGAGGAATCTGCACCTCACCTGTCCTCAGGTGTCCTCATGGTTGTGCATTCCCCCTAAAAAACAGGGTGAAGTTGGAGAGGAGGTTGTCTCATTTATGGCTCTTCTAGCTTGGCCAGTACAGAAGGCATTTGGTTCCCTTCTGCCTTTGTAATGGAATGGTGAGAGAGGAACTGTGTGATCATCTTCTGGAGGCACAGAGGCCTCACAGGAACGTGGCACATGGACGGTCTGGGGCTGGCAGGAGAGCCTGGGGGGCACTGACCCTGCTCCAGGCTGCAGCCTTGGCAGCTCCCTGTGGGGCTGGATCTGGGGCCACAGAGGTGAGTGGTCTTGCACCCCTGGCAACCTTGTGTGGCATTAGTCAGCCCTGCACCAGTTCTGTGCCCAGCACGCTCTCTCTCAGTGTCTCATCTAAATCATGTCTCCTGCAAATACCTTTCCTCCCATCCAGCTGTCTGAATTTGGGGACAAATCCATCTGCTCTAATAGCATCTCTTCTTTCCTCCTGCTGCTGCAGTTCCTTTACTCAGAGGTCGTGATTTCCAGCACTTTTATTGTGCTGATGCTTATTTTTATTTGTTGTTGTGATCCCCAAAATAGGATGTGTTGCTTTAGCTGCATCCTACCAGTGTGATGCCCATCGTGACACGTCCCAGAGCAATGCAAGCATCAGCTTTTCAGGTTGATGGTGTGTACCCTCCATTCCTTTTTTGCATTTCTGTACAGCCCAGCTACTCCCTGGTCTTAATGATGCCCTTAATTTTTTCTCTCTTGGAAGTACAGGTCATTTAATTTGCACCTAGATGTTGGTTTATGGCTCTTGAATGATTTTCCTGTCTTTTTTGTCATTGCTGGGTCCTGACCCTGCTCAGCCCTAAAAGTTTAGTAGGTGCAGAGGGGGATGTGCCTAGGGCTGAAATGGAGAAGGGGGTGGGGAAGAAAAAGAAGAGGCAATAAGTCAGGAGGACAAGTGATAGCTGGGGCTGTGTGCTGAAGAGCTTGCACCTGGGGGAGAGAGGGAGTGAAAACTGAAGGGGGACAGAAACAGGGGGGAGCTGGGGTATGTCATCCCAGTGTCACAGAGAGACAGAAGGAGAAGGCTGCCCAAACTGAAGTAGTCTGCCAGCAACTCCAGCACCAGGGAAAACCATCTGGGACAGCAAGAAGGACCCTCCACATCTCTGAGAGACCTGGCTTTGCAGAGAGACTTCTTCTTGAGCCCCTCCTAAGCCCTTTTAAACAGGAGACTCCAGGTTTTATCATGAGGTTTACCTGCCCTGAAGCCCGTTTCCTAACCCAGTGTGACCTCTCTGCTTGATCCAGCAATGGAACTTGAATTGTTTTTGCCGTGGCATCCGTCGTGGGGGACTGGCATGGGTTTGGGGGGGGCTGTACGTGGCTGGTGGGAGCCCTGGATGTCTGCCTGGTGCTCTATGCATTGCTCAGACTGTCTGGCTTGGCCCTGGAGCCGGAGGAAGGCAAGAGCTGGCACCCGCAGCCGTTTGCAGCCGTAACTCACGCCGGGGAGCGGCGGCTGCGCCGAGCGCCCACTGGGTGTCAAGGCAGGACCGCGGGAAGCCCCTGAGTCACCGTGGAAAGCTGGAAAGCTGCAAAGGGAGGAAGTTGCAGCTGCCTTTTAAGATGAAGTCACTCTCTGCTTCTGTTTTTGTTCGTTTCCCTCCCCCCCCCTCGCTTCCCCCGGTCTCCCCCGGCGAGCCAGTGATGGAGCATGGCCCGGCGCCAAGCATCCAGCTCTCACCAAGCATCCAGCTCTCACGCCCCCTCCTCCTGCCCTCCCCGCAGCCGGCTGCAGAGGGATAGCACTGCAGCAGCAGGGAAGGGAGCACCTCGGGCAGTGGGGGCGGAGGAGCTCGTGCCCTGGCGTCTGCAGAGGCACATCTTCCGTGAAGATGCCATCCCAGAAGATGATGAGGTCTGAGTGCTCGATACATGGATGCTGGGCACATTCCTGTGGCCACGAGCTGACACACACACACACACACATACCCCCCACTCCTGAAACGTGATCCAAAATGCTTCCCAAGTGTTTGCCAGCTTCACTTGGAGGGAGTTTCCTGGTGGCATCTACTAGGAAATGGGGACCGTGTCTGTGCCAAGACGGAAGTGGCTCCTGGGAGAGCCTGGCTGCACAGGGCTGGAGGGGTTTTGGGGTCCCCATCCAGATGGGAGTCCCCACTTCCAGCTTCTGCAAAAACTGTCATTGAAGGTGGACCAGAACCATGTTTCAGAGGCACTGGAGCCTTCCTGTGGCCTGGCTGACCATGCTGCTGCTGCAATCACTGGTGTGAGACCGGATCAGGAAGGGGAGGTGGAAGCGTGGCTGCTGGAGCAGAGCCCGGGCTTCCTTCCGTCGGTCTGAGCTGCTGCAGGAGAAGATGCAGATGTCTGTCCTGTGTCAATGGACCAAAACAGCTGGAAAGTGCTTTTTAGGCTCTTGTAACTGCATCGGTGTTTCGATACAAGACCTGGACTGTTTGAGATGGCTTCCTGGTGCTGCTCCTGGGCAGATGGTCAGGCACAGCTGGAAGCAGTCAGGGTTGGGCAGTGTGGGTGATGGGACCACAGTCCCTCACCAAACTAGGTAAGGGACACGGAATCTGCAGAAGAGCCTTTGTGGTCCTTCCTGATGGAAGGAAGGCTTTGTGTTTTGGGTGGTGTTCAGCAGCACATGGACACGTAAAGCTGTGTGTTGCTCTGCAGAAAGGGCAAGAGGCTGCCACGTGGCTGAACTGCCCAAGGCTGTGCTTTAACCAAGCTTTTAAATGTGGTAGTTAGGGCTCACTACAAAGCTAAAATTGCTGGTGCTTGTCTCATGCTGGAAGTTGCTGTACCCCCATTCCAAGTGCCTGACACACCTTTAGGGTGGAGCTGGGAATCTCTGGAGGTGAGGAATGCTTGAGTGCTGGGTGCCACACAGCACCCAGAAATGCTTGGTTGAAGGCAGCATAATGGCTTTCTTTGAGCTCAGGCACCAAACATTCTCCAACAGCTTGTCTTGTGTAGCTTTAAGGTTCAGGGTGTCCTTTTGGGGTGGCTCCTCCCAGCCCTCCTTTCCGTTCTGGAGTGAGGAGATGTCTTCCCTTTGCTGCTCTCACTGCATGCTTGGGTGAGGGAGCTGGAGGGGGACCTCGGGCACGCTGTCCCAGCCCTTGTCAGGGTGATCTACAGCTCACTGGACTGGATGCCTCTGCCTAGATCTCTTAGCCTCATCGCTTCCCTGGGAGATCTTGGAAACTGCAGCAAGCAGAAGGAGGCCAAGAGCGCTGAAATGAGAGCGATGGAGGACAAGAAAGCGACAGCTTGTGGGACCGAGAGCAGAGAGGAGCTGTTTACCTCCTGGCCGCTGGCTCGAGCCCGTTGAGCAGCACAGCTGCCAGCCCGTATGGGAGCTGCCCTTGTGACTTGGACCACAATGAAAGAACCTGGATATTTCCACCCTTGGCAAGGCCGCTTTGCTGGGCTCGCCTAAAGGCTAGAGCCTGGCCTGGGCCTTAACCTTGTCTGAAAACGGGGTCAGGAAAGCAGCTGGGCCAGGCAGGAGGCCAGGAGGGAGATGACAGCTCAGGCATTGGCAGAGGAAAGGTGACCGCTGAGGAGAGGGTTGGCAGAAACCCTTGAAGGAAGGGGAGAAATGAGAAAATGAGTCGATAAGGGACAGGGGGTGAAAAACGTTGCTTTGGGTTGAATGCATGGTAAAGTAAGCTCTGTTCCCGTGCTGGAGGGTGCTTTCTGAGATGGGGGTATGTGCTGGGGAGTGGGTGTTCTGCCCCACTGCTGAACGTGAGCAAAGGGCACCAATATCCAGAGGTGAGAGCCCGGCACAACCCCCATCATCGCTCAGTCTGCCCTAAAAACATGTTCTGGCTGTCACAGGCAAACCACGGAGGCGGTGCCAGGGCCACGTTCATCCTCCAGAGGAGAATCTGGGGTAGTGGGTTAGATGGAAGTGATTGCATCTGACATCTGCCCTGCCGCAGATGCCGGCGCTGGGAGCCGGCGTGGCAGGCCCAGAGGATCACATTAATGCAATGCCATTACTGCTGCTCCTGCTCCACGCTTCCCGGGGATTAAGGAGAGCCAGGGCGAGCTGGGAGCCCACGCTGGAGCTGCAGTAACCCCTGGAAAGGCAGCAGCCCCTGGTAATCCAAGGTTGCTCTGTCTCAGAGGCAGAGGAGCGTGGGAGGTGGGAGATTTTTATCCCAATTTCCGATTTTTCATTGGACCTTTTCAGGGTGGTGCCCTGGTTTTGTGCTGAGTAAACGAGCTGCTGCTCTGCCGGCAACCCCCCTGAAAGGTTTATCTCGGCAGATGCGGGCAGAGGAGAGCCGGAAAGGAGCTTTTCCCAGCTGCCATCCCTCCTGGTGGGAGCTGAGCCTGAAAGAGCTGCAGGGCAGTGATACACAGCATGACTGGGGGCTGGCTGGCTCCAGGTCAGCCTGGTGCTCCCAACCACCTCCTGGGGTCCACTCAGGTGGGTTTTGGCTTGAGCCACCCCGGCTCTGCCCAGGTACTGCATCACAAGCAGGTACTCTATGCTTGCAAAAAACATGGAGGAGGGGTTTTCACGAGCAATTTTGGCACAAAATGGGCTGGAAATTGTTTCTGTGCTGGTAGAAGTCCAGTATGAGTGGACTGACAGTGCTGTGCTAAACCATGGCCCCCTGCATCCTCCCCACCTGCCTTACAGCACCACGGAGCTGGTGGGTGTGACAGCGTCGAAGCCACCTCCAAAAGGAACAGCTTCTCATGCCGATTCTCTGAGCTGTCCTTTCAGCCTCTTCCCTCTGAAAAATGCATTACCCTGAGGTTTCTTTTTCCCCCTCCTGCGCAGGCAAAGTGTATTTTTGCGTGGAGATGTCGGGTCAAGGATTCATTCTCCTCTTCACATACAGCCCTGTGCTGGGGGCATGGCAGGCTGCACTGCTGCTGGGGGAGATGGTTTTGCTGGAGAACCAGATACAGGGCTCTTTCAGGGCTGGCTTAAATGGCCTGGGAGGCTGCTCCCTTGGACATCTCCCTTCCCAGCTCTCCATGCTGTGGGTCCCTCCTTCCCCTCAGTTCTGCATGTCTGAGCGTTTGGCCCTTGGCTGTTGTTTTCAATATCAAAGCGAAATGCAATTTTCAGCCCCCAGCATCTGTTACGAGGGAGATCAAGCAGGCAGACCCCTGCAGGGCCGTGAGGGGCCGCAGCCTCCTCGTCTCGCCCTTACAACGTGTGTCCTGGGGAAGATCAAATCCTATTAAGCTGCAGCTCTACTTGCAAATTATACCGTGAGAAATCCGCCCCTTAGGATTTCTTATCAAACGAGATGCACGGCCACTCTGCACACACTGGAAAAATCGGCAAGAGCCTGGTCCAGCCTTGAATAATTCAGTAGCTTGGGTAGGACAGGCATGACTATACTCTTCAGTGTAGCTTCATCTTGCTGGTCTCCTCCAACCATCTTGGTTCCAACCATCATCTCTCCTTAACCGAGGATCCTGTGACAGGTATTTCCCATGTCCCCACTGTCAAGGAGGTGGGAAATCATCAGGTAGGTTTCAGGACCACAAACAGGACACAAAAATGTTGTAACATGACCTCTTCTGCCTGGGGGTCTCCTGTTCTGGTGCAAGTCCCAACTATTTTGTAGTGAGGCACTGGCAGGGGTTGCAGCTGTGGATGCCTCATTTCTGGGCATGTTCAAGGCCTGGCTGGACTGGGCTCTGAGCAACCTGGTCTAGCGAGGGTTTGAGCTGAGATGTTTGATGCAGTCTTTGATGTGCTGTAGACCTCCCAACCATGGGAGGAATGAGTTGGACATTGCAGCACTGAACCAAACTCTTTTCCGTGCAGCTGTGAGAGGATCCAGGTGACCCTGAACCTGGATGGAATAGTTCAGGTGCTGGACTGCCACCTTCACGACACATCCATTGGGATGATGACCAGAATTGCAGTCCTGAAATGGCTCTACCACTTGTACATCAAGACTCCTCGTAAGGTAGGTTGGGGACTCGGCATTTTGAGCCTGCTTCTTCCCTTGGGCCTGAGCTTGTGCACTCCCAGCCTGCTCCGTGCCCTCAAATGGGCTGTAGTTGTCTTGGGAGCAGTGGGAACATGTGTCCACCTGCCTTTTCGGAGAAGGCTTTGGCTGCTGGATACCCCGCAGCTTGAGGAAGAAGAGCTCTCCAGCTCAGGTGGAAAATGCTGGGGAAGCTTTCTGCAGCCTCCCCTGGGGCAGGTGGTTCTGTGGCAGGGAGGGACCAGGACTGATGCCAGCTGCCTTTCTGCTCCTAGATGTTCCGGCACACCGACAGCCTCTTCCCCATCCTGCTACGGACCCTCTCAGATGAGTCGGATGAGGTAAGTGCTGCAGCTGCTGCACAAGTCCTGCTGGAAGCTTACTGTCTCCACATCTAGCTGGGCTTTGGGTTTTTTTGGTTGAACTGAGGTATTTTGTGAGGCTTGGCCAGTGTTGGGACTGGGCCAAACTGAAGATCCAGCTGGAAGCCCTGCTGTCTTGGGGGCCCTCTGATGTATAAACCTTCTTTTCCACCTCTGAGAGTTGACCCTTCAAAGCCAACTCCTAAGAATCCTTTTTGCCTGCCTGGGAAAGCAGCTGGTGCTTCAGACCCCAGAGCTGGTGTCTTTCCCATGGGGCTGGGTCATGATCAGATCCTTGGTGAATGGGAATTCAGTTGCCTTTCACCAACCTCTGTGAAGATGCAAGGGGGATTGTGTTCAGCCAGCACTGCCGGATCCAAGTCATGAGGCAATTAAGCAGCACCCACTGCTCAGAGGGCAGCAGCAGCATTGCCTGGTGGGGCTGCAGTAGATGCCCCGTGGCATCAGATTGGCTGGGAACCACTCAGCTTGGGAGAGCAAAGAGAATCAGGCAGCAGAGAGTGAGACCACTTGCTCTGCCATCGCTCTTCATCTCCCATGCTGCTCCCTTCCTGAGCTGCTGCACCGTTTTCCTGTTTCCTTGTCTTTCTTCCTCACCCCTCTTCTCTGGTTCCAGTCATCTCAATTTTAGTAGTGTTGTTGTCTTCTCCCACTCTCAGTTGTTTGCTGGAGCATTTTAGTGCTCAGGTTGGAGGCTGACAGGCTGGCACACAGCCTGGTCCAGGCACTCCTAGAGCTTCCACCAGCAGCTGGATACCTCTTGCCCAGAATTGCAAAGGATTCTGGCTGGTTTCTCAGCCAGGACCTTCCTCATGGAATAAAAATCACACACTCTCTGCTGTGCCTTACATGCTCAGTGCACCAAACCCCAATCCTACAATAAATCCCATGTGAGAGGAGGGAAGGGAATGAGCAAGTGAGGGAATGACTTGCAAAGGCAAGCAACTGCCTGGCCATTTTCCATCCCCTGCTGCTTACGATGCAAACCTTTCCAAAAGAGTCCCCAAGCACACATCTGCCTTTGCAATGCTCTAGAAAGCCTGCATCTTGCAGATAGTCTCTCCAGCTTGGCAGGAGATCGCAGTGAGTCATGTTGCAATTACACTGCTTATTAATATTTGAAAAAAGCAGTGAAGAAAGGACCCTGGTGATGCATTTCCTCCATGTGACATAACTGGGAATGGCTCAAAAGTAATTTTAAGCTGATTTATTTAATCCTGGCTTCTATTTATTTAAATGTTTGGAGGTGGCTCTTTTTTTTTTTTTTTTTTTTTTTTTTTTAAGGAAATCCATAGACGAGTCAATCCATTAAACACCACCGCTCAGCTGGCTCTCAACCAGATTTGCTGCTCTCTGCAGAGGAAATAGAAATGACTGAAGTAGTAGAGGGGTTTTGAGCTGGACATTTTGGGGAATGATGAGAACACACTGAGCTATCTAACCTGCAGTGTCAGTGTCTATTAGGAAAGGAGATGTGGGGTGCTTACCTAGTCAGTACAGTATTTGTGTGCATGGTTATGTTGTCCTAGAGCAGACTGTGATCCCCAGAAGCTCCTGGCTAATGGCCTGGGAATCACCTGGTTGGCATGGGGGCCTGTATGAGGTAACCATCAGCTCTGTGATGAGGAAGCATCTCCCTCCCCTTTCCAGGCAGGGCTGTGCACGTTGTGTGGTGTAACAGAAGGTGTACACATCTTCAGAGGGTTTTTTTGCTGCCTTCCTCCTGCGATGCTGCTCTCCCCATGGGAACCTGCTGGGCAGCAGTGCCGGCGTCATCTTTTTTCCCAGCAAGGTTGAACGTCCTTCTGCAGTGGCTGTGGTTTCCCTTACCCCTGTGCATGGTCTGGAGGCTACCTGTCACTCTCCTGATGTGCCCTGGAGCTGCCCTGGAGCAGCTGTTTGTCGCCAGCTCATCACCAAAGGACAGTCTGGCTTTGGAGGCTCAGTGCTAGTCCGTGTATCAGACTGAAAGACTGTGCTCAGGTCTCTTATTTTTAAGATCTGGTCTTGCTGAGCTGCTCTGAGTCTCTCCGTGCACTTGCCATAAATAATCAAGCCTAAAGCAAGGAAAGACTCACGCTGGATGGAGCCGGATCCATGCCCTTTAAGGTCTCACGCCTGTTTTTATCGTTCAAGTAGCACAAGGTGTTGCACCTCCTCCACTGTGCTGAACAGGGGCCAGTGTCTCATGATGTATCTGCAGCCTCCTGAGTCATCTCTGCCTTCTCTCCTCTTCCCCTTCCTACCCACTCCTCTTGTGCCAGTAAATAAATGGTCAAGAGACACCTGGTTAAGATTCACAGAGGCAGCACGGAGAAGTTGGAGCGAAGCTGAAACCAGCAGTTCCCTTTGATGTGTAGACAAGTCGGGATCCAGGATTCCCGGCTGTCGGATGCCGTGCTGCTGCACTGCGTCACCTCGTGCTTCCCCAGCAGGGGAAGGTTCTGTCCTGCATCTGAGATCTGCTTTTGAAGGCAGTCTATAAAAGCCCTGCTTAAAATTCGATGTGCTTAAAAACTTCCGTGCAGCTCCAAGACATAGCAGGGTCCTGCTGGGAGTGGGTTTTCCTCCACTGGCTGCTTCATCTGTCAGTGTGAGTCTTGCAGCCCTCGTTGAAGAACTGATGTTAGAAAATGTGAAAAGTCAGAAAATGTTTTCTGGGCAGTGGGTTGGACCTTTCCAGCTGCAGGGTAAAGGCACTGCTACTGATAGGCACTGCTGAAAAGAAGACATGTTTTTAGGATTATCTTCTGTGAGTTTCTAGTGCAAAGCCAGCTCTGGATGTAGCCTTTCAGTTCCCTGGATCCTGAATGGACCCAGGAGCTGAGCTCAGGTGAACTGAACAGGAGGTAAAGGCATCTCTGAGAAAACTGTGAAGCAGTGACGCTGCTGGATTTCTTTCTTTGCTTTGTTTTCATTTTTCCGGCTTCAAAATGAGGTTGTTTCTTTATGGCTGAACGTGTTCCTGTCTGCTTATCTGCTCTCCTCAATCTTGCTGGAGGTTGAAAGTTGTGCTGGGACTTTTGTCTGAGTCATGGCAGGAATGACGTGTGAGGTGGAGCTGGTGTCTGATGTGAAGCAGGATAGACTCTGGCTTCCTCTCAACTTTGTCAGCGTGAGAACCTGCATTGTGCAGTGGCCAGGCAAGGCTTTGAGTACAGAAGTAGTTCCTTCAGAAGTCTGCTCAGGAGTTGATGTCCTTCCCTAGAGAGGGCGAGCTCAGCGTGGGCTGCCACTGACTGCAAAGGGCAAGTTTAGGTAGGTATTAGGAAGAAATTCTTCCCTGAGGATGGTGAGTCACTGGCACAGGTTGCCCAGAGAAGCTGTGGCTGCCCCATCCCTGGAAGTGTTCGAGGCCAGGTTGGTTGGGGCCCTGAGCACCCTGATCTGGTGGAAGGTGTCCATGCCCATGGCAGGGGAGTTAGAACCAGATGGTCTTTTAAGGTCCCTTCCTACTCGAACCATTCTCTGATTCTATGTACTGCAAAATCTGCATGACCTTAAAGCCAGCTTCTCCATGACAAACTGAAACATTCTCCCCTCCCTTGGGTTTCCAGTATTAAAGTAGGTGAGAAGAAAGCCCAGGGGTGGTGGTGTCCCAATGGCCATCTCTCTCCTTTGCTGTTGACTCCTCCAGCCCTCCTGCATGTCCTGCTGCAGCACTGCAGGGTTTCAAAGCCCAGGTCTCTGCCCTACTCCGAGCTCTGCTCTCACAGTAAATCCTGGCAAACTTCTCCCATCGTGCCCAATTCCCAGGACAATGAAGCTGAACAAAAGCTTGTGCCAAAGCCAATAGCTGTCTTAGCATGGTTTGGTTTGGAGCTTTGCTCTGTTGGGTTTAGGGCCCTTGTGCTCCAGCTCCCAGCCTTTCATCCACCAGGGCCAAAATACTGTGACCTGGTGCAAAGCAGAGGGTGTAAGCTAAGGACTGTAAAGAGGAGAACTCTAACATATGTGTGCCTGGCTTCTGTTTGAACTTTTTTTGGTGGTAAGGCTTCTCTGGAGAGAGTCTCAAAGCTACAAGGTACCGAAGCAGGGAGGCCGCTGGTTTTCAAGAGGGCAGTTGCCCTGACAGTGAGCTTGGGAGTGAAATAATGGAGTATAGAAAGATGTATATAATTCCAGTTGGATTGTGGAAAATGTGGTCAGCCTGGATTACCGTAGGTGGAAGCAGCCTGTAAGCAGAAGTGGGTTCTGAGGACTCGAGACATTGCAAGGCCACTGGGTTGAACAACAGTCTGTGCATTGTACAGTGCAGGAATAGGAAGTTTTGTGGTGGGAAGTGTGATCCATAGGGAACTTCTAGACTCAGCACCAGTTTCAGACTATAATTTCCTGGCTTGTATATACACATGGAGTTTATACCCACACTGAACAACAGCTGGGGCAAACTGGCAGCCTGGGCTCAAGGAGGTGCTTGTAGTGTTCCTGGATGAAGTCATGGAGCAGTCTAAAACCACAGAATACCTGTCTGCCATGGAGGAAAGGCAATCCCTGCCCTGGGGAGCTGTCTCAGAGAGGGTCCAGGGTGGGATGGGGGTGTAGGATGCAGGATGTCATGAGCTGGGCTTTGGGTGCCCTCCCTGGGTGTGGAGGGAGATGCTGGATGGGAGACAGGGTAGCAAATGAAAGCAAAGCCTTTACCTTCATAAGCTCTGGGACTCTGGATGTTAATTTGAAGGGTTTGCAGGCATCCAGCCTCCCACAGCATGGCCTGCAGGGATACCCCAGGGCTGTTCCAGCTTCTTCCAGCCCCGTCCTGCTGGCTGGACCTGTGTTGCCTCCTTCCCTGCTCTTTAATTCACGAAAGAACAGCACTTGGTGGCACTTGGATGTGGTTTAGTTGTGAGCACGGTGGTGCTGGGTTGATGGTTGGACTTGATGATCTTAGAGGTATTTTTCAACCTTAAGCTTTCTACGAAATACCTCCTTGGCATCCCACCCTGTGACTGGCATCAGGTGGCCTGCTAAGCTCCCCATATGCCAATTAAACACAGTTAAAGAGGTGCTCTGAGCTGTGACATGCTCAGGGTGCTGCAGCCTGGCCCTTGCAGCCCCAGCATCAGGGACAGCTGGGGGATTTGCAAAAGCAGGAGGGTGGACAGGGAGTTTTCAGGTTCCAGCTTGGTTTGGGTTGGTTTTGGCTGTATTATCAAGTGCCCCCCCTCCACTGCCAGCTGTATTTCCTGGTGCTGTGAGCAACTGTTGGCATAACCTGGCAGGATTTGCCCCGGGGAGGAGAGGAGAAGGCCCCAGCCCTGCTGCCTCCCCTTTGCTCCCCATCCCCTCCTGGGAATGCAAAAAAAAAAAATAGATCTTGGCCAGATCACAGGATAAAAGTTGCTGTGCTGGGGACCTGAAAAGAGGTTTGGTTACATTGCTGTGGGAAGATTAATGGTGAGTTTTCTTTTCTTTTTCTGTCTTTAAAACTGGTGGAGGCTGGGAGGATGTAAGTTTGCTTTCCACACTGTGTGTGCCTGGGGCTCAGCCAGCTTTGCTGCTGGCCACTCCTGGCTCCAGGACTGCCTGCCCATGCTCATCTCCCTCCCCTGGCTACGGCTAAAAGGCTTGGAGGGAGAAGAAATAAAATAAATAAAGCCCTTTGGAGAAGCCTCAGTGCATGCTGAAGGGCTGCATTTTGAGTGGTGGAGCAGGAGGAAGCACCCAGCAGCATCCTTGGATTTTCCTGGTTCCCACTGGGTCTCTCCTCCACCTGCCTTTGCCCGTCCTGGAAATGCTGTGAGGTTTTCCACAGTCCCCCTGATTCTTGGTCCCCTTTGAAGAAGTGCTTTGCAGGCCTTAAACTTCTTGTTTTCCGACTTGCTAGCATCTTGCTTCAGCTGAATTCCCATCTTCTCCCTGGTAAGACTAACCTTATCCCTGCTGTTGTGTGCCCCATTTCATTGTCCAGGGAATACCCACCCACTGGGACACACAAAGCTGCCCGTGAGCGTCTCCCTGCTGCACAGAGGCATTTTAATATTTTATTTTCTTTTTTTTCCCCCCCAACTTTTCCGTAAATACCAGCAGGGAGAGCACCTTCAGGAGCTTAGTCTGCATCCTTGCCCACTGTGTGTGTGCCCCAGGAGCGGCTGCCTAACCTGCCTGGTGTCCTGGTAGTCAGCATGTGCTGTGGGATGCTGAGCCTTGCCCTGGGGGGCCTGCAGCAGATTTGGGGTCACCTCCCCTCCCCCTGCCAGGGGGGGCCAACCCAGCGTTTTGACCAGGGGCAAATCCTCCCCCTCCTCCAGGAGCATCCAGGCACTGCTTCGCACGCACAGGGAGGTGCATCCCATCCATCCCATCCCGCACACACGTCCAGGGGCTGCTCTTCCCCCCGCGCCGCCGGCAGGGCCGGGCTCGGCTCCGTTCAACCAGAACGAGCAGCAAATTAACCTGACCTAGATCTGGAGGAGCCGACAGTTGTGTGTGCCCTCAAAATCCGGAGGCAATGCAGGGAGAAATCTTGCTTATTCCCAGGAAGGAGGAATAGCCGCTTATTTATAACTGTCAGAAAACCTGGTTCTGGTTACCCGGCCACCCGGAGCTCGCCGCTCTTCCATGCTGCTCTTCATCCCTGTGCTGGGAATGGCTTGTGACATTGGACAGGTCTCCCCATCCATCACGATGCTGCTTCCCCTGCTCCTTCCTATAACCAGCCTCACGTTCGCCCAGAGCAGAGCACACTGCCCTGTGTCTCATCACCACCGGGAAATCTTTCCCGAAATCCCCTTGGGACCAGGAAAACCCCCTTGGGGGCTGATCCTCCAGGCTGGCTGTCAGGATCACACCTTGGCCTGGCAGCTGGGAATGGCTCTGGCCCTCGTGCTCCAGCGCTGTGGGGTCCGACGGCCGCTGGGTTCCTGACGGATGGGACCAGCTCGCGCCTGGCGCAGCCGGTCGTTGCCATGGCAATGGCAGGATATTGCTTTCTTACAGCCTCCTGGCTCGCACAAAGCCGCCAGCTCCAGCTTTGCTCAGCACAGGGATGTGCAGTGCATACCAAGCGCTCCTGCCTTTCCTCCATCTCCAGCTGGGAACCCACTCCGGAGCATGCGGGGAAGAAGCAGCAGGAGCTGGAGATCCCTGCCTCTTTCCCACGGCTGGAAAACCCCAGGTCTTTGCAGCTGCCTGCTCTTCCAGTGCTGGTGCACCCATCCCTCCTGCTTCTTATTTCCTCCGTGGTTTTCAGTTGCAAAATTTATCCTATGCTGCTTTTTCTACCTCCTGCCTGTGACCTACACAGCTGGCCTGAGGGGACACTCCTTAACCTCTCCAAAGCTCAAGAGGTCCAGCCATGCCCTCCAGTGGCACAGGTCACTGCTGCCCAGGCTGTCCTGGCCAGAGCATCCCAAGCCCAAGCAGCATTTCAGAGATGGGGTTTGGCACACAGCTCTGGGCGGTTGGATTAAGGATCTGACCTCAAGACATGGCTCTTAAAAACTCTGGGAAGCAGCAGGGATGATTTGTGCCTGGCCTGGGGCCGTGGTCCTGTTTCCTGATGCCGCAGGAGTTGGTGGTGAAGACTAAGGTGGATGATGTGACTGGGTGGGGATTAGGGCAGCAGTGAGTGTCTGGATCCTGCTGTACATCAACCACAGACGGCCTTGGCTCCTGGTTTAGTTGGGTTTGGCAAAATCCACCATGTGAACAAGAGTCCCAGCTCTCACTTGCCTGCCAGCCCCAGTAGCCAAGCCCTGAGTCCCTTTGCCAGTTTTAGCCAAAGACAGTGAGACTTGGAAACCTGTGTGTTTATTTGCCCAGTTGTGAGAGCCTGAGACCCAAGTCAGTGCCTGTATGAAGGCTGCAAGTTCAGCTGAGCCACATGATTAGCCACTAGAGAATCTACACAGAGCTTCAGGAGACCAGGCATCATGAGCTCTGCTCGGGGGCATCCTCAGCTTGAAACAAAATACCACCAACATCACTTTGTCTGAGCCACTGATGCTTGAAAACCAGGCAGAGAGGGAGGACCAAGGTCTTCTGTCTGCCAGGGAGCACAGACTCCTCACTGTGGAAGAGGATGAAGGCTGGTGATGGCAGGGACCTCCCGTGCTGGCAACGAGCTCCCAGCCTTGGCAGCATCACGAGGTGCCATGTTCTTCAGGGATGACAGTAAAAGTTGTTGTCTTATTTTTTTTTTCCTCCCTGGGGAGCTGTGGGCTGAGACTTAATCATGTCTATAGGCACAGGGACTTCCCAAGCATGCTGAAGCCTCGTGGTGCCCATGGCAGGCTGCTTTCCCACCACAGCCTGGACACCACGCTGCCTGCTCCAAAGCTGCTGGGGGCTTGAAAATCAGCCTTAATTGCAAAAAAACCCCACTCAGCTTAGGATATCTGTGCAACAGAAAAACCCAGGAGCTCCTTTTTCTGATTTTCAGGCGTCGTCGTATTTTCCAGCACGATCAAAAAAAGAGATGTAATTGCCTTTTTGTTTTTCTGGGGGTAAGGGTTTTCTCTGTTAGCTCAGAAACTAAAACTCTCATATAACTGCATCTCCTCAGAAAGATTCGTTGCGAGAACACAGGGAAAGCCTGGAATGCTGTGCTGGTGGGCAAGGGGTAGTCAGGGATGTGCTCTGCCAGATGTTGATGAGCTAGATGTGACAGTCGACCCTTTTTGGCAGCCTTTCTGCTCCACACAGCCCCACTACACTCAGAGCTTCGGGGACAGCTGATGAAACATCTAGACCCAAGGACATTTGAATGAAGGGGGACCCAAAATAGCCTGAGACATGAGAAGGGTTGAGGACGGAAAAAAAAAAAAACCACTCAGTAATAACTTCTCCAGAAATGCTATATATAGACTAATTTGGTGACTTCTGGAAGGAAAGAGCTATGAAATCCGAATGGCAGCTCTGCCTCGATGTCATGAGCTGAGCCTTTCCTGGGATGCTGCCCTGCATGCAGGGGCTGGCTGGTGTATGCCCCAGAGCATCCCTGTGCTCTTGCTGGGATTGTCCCAAATATTTTGTTATGAGGGGGAGTGGGGAAGCAAAACCCAGACCTCCCCGAAGTGGGACAAGGGGAAGGCAAGCCCTGCTCCTGATTGTGTAAATTTGGTTTAATTTCATATACTCCCTTGGGGCTCACAGAGCAGAAACGTGGGGATTTTTCCCCTTTCCTCTTTACTGCCCTACCCCCTCTGCAAGAATTTGTAATGTCCACATGGAGCCTTACAGGTAGCTCTCTTTTCCCTACACCTTTCTTGATGTGCTGGGACATGGTGTTTGCTACCCATCTCACCCTCTCTGGCCCTGGATTTGGAAAGGAAAGCTCCCTGTACCATCTGCCCTTGCGTGTGCTCACTCTGCACCATCCCTGTCTCTCTGCAGGTTATCCTGAAGGACCTGGAGCTGCTGGCTGAGATTGCTTCTTCCCCAGCGGGACAGACGGAGGAGGGTCACGGTCCCTCGGATGGCCCTGATGTGCGACCCGGCCCAGCGGAGCTTCACATCCCAGCCAGGGCTGGCCAGCTGAGCTCCTCTAGTGAGTGCCCCTGTGCCACAGCTCTGTTCCTCCCCACTCCAGGGCTCTCTCGATGTTCCATGGCACCGGTCAGGTTTGCTCAGGCAGAAGGGGAAGCTTCTCTTACAGTAAGAAATCAATATCTTCGTCCCCACCCGGTACAGCCTGGGAACGGAGCCTGCCGTGGCACAGACCAGGGCACTGCTTTTATTTTTATTGCTCTTCCCTCTAGTTCTTGCTTTGGGGATTTAGGGCTTGGTTTAGCAGCAGGATGCTGCAGAGGCCACTGTGGAGGGAGGTCATTATTGTCCTATTTTTTACGAGACCTTGGGTGCAACCTCTTCTTTCCTTGTAAAAACCCTCAGCGCCCTAGAATCAGTGTGGGATGGGATGCTGGCTGCAAACCCAGGTCTCCAAAACATCCATAGATCTGCAGAGGGATCCCTGAGGGGTCTGTTCCTGTGATGTTGCCTGTTGAAGGCTACCCTCATTGGCTGTGAACTGCTGTGCTGCTCTGAGTGCCTGGCAGAACCTCAGGAGAGAGATGAAGAGGGACGATCCTATTTTCTGGGGACTTGGGGCATAAAAAAACAAACCTTTCATTCATTAGCCCAGCACATGGGGAAATTTTTTCCACCTTCCCTTGTCTGTGGCTCATCCTTCACAGTTCCTTGGCTGCTCCTTCCCCGCCTCTGCTGCTATTTAAGGGCCTCCCTGTTGTAGTCCCCAGGCCAGGTTGTCCCAGCCAAAAGCACGTTTCATGTGAGCTTTGGATTGCAACCCGAGCCCGGAGCCAAGCCTGCCTCTCCCTGCACAGGATGCAGCCACAGGGCCTTGCAAAATCACCCCTGGAGAGGGAGGCTTCGCTTTCCCATCCCCAGGCTTTGTTTTCTCTGAAGATCCTGGATTGTTCACCCCTCCCTGGTCTTACGAATGTTTGCGCCAGCAACCGGCTCAGGTTTAGGGTTGCTCAGGGTGGGATTTTTTTTTTTTTGTGGATCTACTTGTTTCCTGCTGGCAGCTTTATCTCTGCGGTGGAGAGGTGGGGGCTGCAGTGGTGGTGACCTCCCCAAGCCCTCTGCAAGTCTCATCCATCCTCCCACTGTCAGAAGTGAGACCGCCAGGGTGGAGCGGCTCCTGTGGCGCTGGCCAAGCAGCTGAGGAGCTGCAGTTCAGCTCACACTGATGGTTGTCTGAGGTTTCCTTCCTTCTGGATGATCTAAAAATAGCAGGCTGGATGGCGTGGATCCTAACGACTGCCGTGGCCCTTGTTAGCTCTCTGGAAGAGCAACTTGGCTTTGCTTATTCAAGTGTAACCTTTAAAAATAGTCTGACTCTGCCCTCCTGGAGTAGATCTGCTGCAGCCGGAGCTCCTGTTGCCCCAGCATGGGATAACTTGCCCCCATACAGGTCCTAATGGGCTCTGGCTTCCTCACCTATTTTCCTCTTCCCTGTAATGTAACAGAAAATTGTTTCTTGAGAATTTATTTTGGGCTGAGCTTTGCAGGGTCGTTGGCTTTTACCCAAAGGCAGATGTTTTTGGGGAGGGGAAAAAGGAGCTGGGTTGTTGGCCTCGGACGTTTGTTATGGCCCCAGTCCCGTCTGGCTCTGACCACCCAAGGCTGAACCTGGATGGGCTGCTGGGGAGTTCCCCCAGGGAAATTGAGGGGTCACAGCTGGGCCAGGACCTTCCTGGATTACACTTGGAAAAGCAGAGGCTCCTGGAAAATACTCCGTTTGTCAGAAGGTTGTTTTGGAGCAGGAGGGTGACCGGTGGAAATCCTCATGTCTGTGCTTGGTCCTGGGGTGGTGATGCACAGTGAGAGCAAGTGAGCTGAAACTGCCCTTCCCAGGCAAAAATCACAAGGTGCTGTCACTAAAGAGAGGGTGTAGCCCTTCTCTGGAGTCACTGTTTTTGTACTGGGATGTATGGGAGGGTTCCCTAGGGTGCCTTGATTCAGAGAGTACCGAGGAGGAGTGCTTTTCGGGGGTGCCCAGCAACAGGACAAGGAGCAGTGGCCATAAACTAAAACACAGGAAGTTCCACCTCAACACGAGGAAGAACTTCTTTACATTGAGGGTGGCAGAGCACTGGAACAGTCTGCCCAGGGAGGTCATGAAGTCTCTCTGGAGGCATTCAAAACCGACCTGGTTCCTGTGTCACCTGCTCCAGGTGACCCTGCCTTGGTAGGGCGTTTGGACTGGATGATTTCCAGAGGTCTGTTCCAACCCTCAGAATTCTGTGATTCTGTGATTCTGTTTTGGCAATAGGATGGATGCTACTGCACCATCAGATAGGGGGCTGCAGGGCACCAGCGCTCGACCCCAGGGTTCAGTCTCTCTGTTCCCTCCATCCACGTTAGACCAAGATGCCACTGATGCCAGCAGTGGGAGGAGAGCTGCTGAGCCATCTTGGCTTCCATCCTCTCCTACCCCTGAGGCCCTTCCAAGCGTGCAGTTGGTGGCTTTGCAGGTAAACGAGCAAGGTCACCCTTTGAAATCCTTGAGCTCACAGCAGGTTTCCATGCTGCAGTGTCCATCTTGGCTCTCCAGGCTTTGCCACCCAAGCAGTAAGGGCAGGAGTGGAGGTGGAAGGGGCCAGTGCCCCCAAGGTCTTCCCCCCGCTTCCTCTCTCTGCCTTTCTTCCCTCAGGATGTGTTTATGCAGTTGTTTCCCTGCCATTGAGTTCGGTTTCCTTCAGATGCTGGTTGATTAGTCAGGAAAGCCGTGTCCCACTTCCGCAGCCCGTTCCCAGCTCCAGTTTTTATTTAGCCGCTTTGTTCTCCCGTTACGTAAGGTCAGCTGCCCTCGACGCCTTCTCCAAACACTGTGAGCTGGGGCCAGCCCAGCTCAGCACTGGGGGACTTCCAGCATCCCCTCCCAGCCTGCTCCAGCTGGAGGGGCTCTCCTTGTGCCCACTTTTTCAGGGAGAAGGGCTGCAGGGCTGTGCCCAACAGCTCCCCAGTCTATAGGGTGATGGCGCAAATGATCTGATCTGGTCTGTACAATGGGAATCCAGCTACCTGCTTTGCTTTGGGAGTGTTTTGCCAACCTTGTGGAAGTTGAGACAAGTAGCAGATGACCCAAGAGTGGTTGTCACTGAGGCCAGCCAGTCCAGGGAGGTGATTCTGCCCCTTTACTCCGTTCTGGCAAGACCCCACCTGGAGCACTGCATCCATAGCTGTGGGGTCCTCAGCACAGCAAGGACATGGACCTGTTATGGCAAGTCCAGAGGAGGTCACGTCAGATGCTGAAACACCTGTGCTATGGAGACAGGCTGGGTGGTTCAGTCTGGAGATAAGAAGGTTCCAGGCAGACATTAGAGTCCTTTCCAGTTCCTGAAAGGGGCTCCAGAAGAGCTGGAGAGGGGCTTTTGAAGAGGGCATGGAGTGACAGGACAAGGGGGAATGGCTTCAAGCTGAAAGAGAGTAGATTTGGATTAGGTATTAGAAAGAAATTCTTCATTGTGAGAGTGGTGAGGCCCTGGCACAGGTTACCCAGAGAAGCTGTGGATGCCCCATCCCTGGAAATGTCCAAGGCCAGGTTGGACAGAGGTCTGAGCACCCTGATCTAGTGGAAGGTGTCCATGCCCATGGCAGGGGAGTTAGAACTAGATGGTCTTTTAAGGTCCCTTCCAACTCAAACCATTCTGTGATGTCGAAGGTGCAATCCCTCCAGCCTGGTGCACAGCTCTGCCCTGCACAGGAGAAGAGAGCTCAGTCCAAAGGGATGCCAACACCAGCTGCTGCCTTGCACATGACTCTTCCTTCCCTTCTCCACAGCTTTGTAAGGAGAAGCAGTTATGGCCCTTTGTTTCCTCTCCAGCTCGGTCCGGTCTCTCCCGCCTGGCTTCCTGCCGGAGCTGGCAGGGACAGTGCTGGACCCTCTGAGCACCTCATGCTGTAGGATGTTTACCAGGAGCCTGACTCGGTGTGTGGGGATTGCAGAATAAAAGCTGGGATTAGTGATCTGTAGGTGCAGATAAAGAAGGCAACGGTGTAGGAAAGATCATTCCCAGCCAAGCCCTCCTGTGCAGTTATTTTGCTGGGCTGCCTCAGTTTCCCCAAAATGTGAGGAGTTTGGAGGATGGGGTGTGGAATGAGGTGAAAACAAACTAGCAGCCCATTGCTGCCTGTTCCTGCTTACAGGTTATCCTCCATATGCCTCACCTTTCCGTGCAGGAGCCTCAACCTGCTCTAAGCTCACCATCAAGCTTAACCTTTCCTGGTTTGCAGCTCTGCTGGGCACTTTGTTCTCCTGTACATTGGCTGAGCTACACACCTGCTGCATTTTTGCTTATCGATTTACCTTAGCAAAGAAAAACGAGGCAGTCGTGGAGCACTAACCTTCCTGGGAAAATCATCAGGGTTATCATTGCCTGCTGCCTTCCTCCAAGGTGGCCACGAGCACAGACCCTGGTTCAAGTGTAGGAGGATCCAGGAGGCAGAAAAGGCCTCGTTTGGCATCAAAATATGTACCCTGAGCCATTTGGGAAACCCTCTTCTGGTGAGGTGCCGAAGCATCGGGAATTGCAAACCCGTGGCTCTTCAGCCAGGTCAGAAGGGGAGAAGCATCCACGTGTGACCAGGCAAAAGCAGGTGGGCACAGCCTGTGGCCGTGCAATCCACAGTTTTGCTGGGTTCGTTTCCTCAGCAGCATCCTGTGCTCTGGAGAGGGGAGAGCGGAGATTTTCCAGAGCCCAGCTGAGCTGCCGACACGTTCACATCTGTTTCCAGCTACGCCCTGCGCCGCCTTTTTGGGAGGAGGAGGAGGAGGAGGGGAGGGGAGGATTTGCCTTTTTTACGGCTCTATTTTTATCCCGCTCCGCGAGAGGCTTCGCCGCTCCGTGTTTGCGAAAGCTGAAATTCAAAACATCCTGGGGAAGGGCTGCCGGGGGGGAGACGCTGCGCAGATTCCCACGTCGCTGCCCGGGGGTTTCGCCGAGCACCATCTGGCAGTGCCACCTCCCACGCCGCTGGCACTCCAGCGGGCTGGAGGCTCACGGACCAGCTCCGGCTGCCACCAGGTTTATCCCTGTTGCTCCCAGAGGAGCCAAGGGAGATCATTCTCGGGCTGAGCTGGAAACATGATGCCTCGGGGGAAGCGCCGGGGCGGGAAGGATGCTTGGCCTCGCCAACTCTTAGCTTACCCTCCCTATATCCGAGCTGAAATTGCTTCAATTAGAGATTGCGGTAAATCATTTTAGCTAAACCACCGCAAATACCCTTGTGGATGCTCTTTAACCAGCTTACCCAGCTTTAGCTCGCTTCGGAAAGGAATCAATTCTGCTCCAATCTTATTTCAATTTGGTTTCAGCGGAGTTAAGCAAGTCCACACCAGTTTTAATTAAGACTGGTTTGAAACCAATTATAGTAAATTAATAGAAGTTGTGTTTTATGCCAGGCTGAAGTTCCGCACTTCGTGGCCGAGATAGGAAAATCCAAGTTCGTGTCAGAGTCTGCCAGTCTCACCCGGAGCAGTCTGGGGACACTTTGGGCACTGCAGGTCTCGACACAGCTCAGCCCATCAAGCAGCCAGACTGCCTGAATGTTCCAGGCTGATGTACAATATATATTTATAAGGGCCTTAATATAGATCCCTAATTGCCTGTCTGGGTTGATTTATAGCGTGGCCACGCAAGCGATGGGAACGGTTTGAACCACTGGTGAGTGCTCGGAAATGCACGGGAGGGTTTGACAGGCCTTTGCTCCGCTCACCCCATGGCTGGGGGAACACATTCTGGTGTTGGCTTAGGTGATCCAAGCAGCCCACTCGTGTCCCTGGCTCTGTCTCAGGCTGTGAAGGGAATCCAGGGAAAGCCTGGCATTCTGGGCTGTAGGGGGGTGCTGTAGTCATGGATAGGACAAAGAGTACTGGGATTAAATTGGCAGGATTTATTGAGCTTAGATATTAGGAAGAAATTCTTTGTTGTGAGGGTGGTGAGGCCCTGGCACAGGTTGCCCAGAGAAGCTGTGGCTGCCCCATCCCTGGAAGTGTTCAAGGCCAGGTTGGATGGGGCTCTGAGCAACCTGGTCTAGCGGAAGATGTCCCTGCCTGTGACAGGGGGTTTGGAACTAGATGGGCATTAGGGTCCCTTCTGTGATTCGATGATAAGGGCCCAGGCTGGTGTGGACTCACTGTGGCCTCATCTTGTTTCACTGCTCTGATGTTCCTCTGAGCCCAAAATTCCCATTTGTTCCTATTCTTGTGGATGTCCAGGCTGAGTTTCCTCATTCCTCTGAGCAAGGATCTTTCTTCTTCCAGCTCCCTCCTCCATGCCAGATTAAAAAAAAAAAAAAAGGCAGCAGAGCTAGACATAGAATGTGCCACCAGCCCCAGCTACGTTAGCAGCCGATCTGGCAGGTTACGGATCTGCAAAGTCTTGCTTCGGGGAAAGGGGGAGAGGTGCAAGCTTCAATTAATTATGCCACAGTTTTCTTAACACTTCTTTCTGCTTGTTTCTCGTGTTTCATAGAAGCACTTGACAGGCTGCTCCTACGGTTCTGTGGAGCCGGGAGCGCCGCGGTGCTGAGCTGTAACCCGCAGGGCGGCGAGCTGAGCTCAGGGCTACGCCAGGAAGGGTCACACCACGGCAAACGGGGTGCCAGCCGCTTCCTAGACATCCTGTGAACAGAGCTAATGGGAAGTTTGGAGGACTGGGAGGCTTTGGAAGAGAGAACTGCTTTGCCTGCTTGGAAGAAGTATTGCCTGTTTAAACTCCAGCTGAGATCCGGTTGAGTCTTTTGCAGCCCGGGAGCCTCCCACACGCTGGTTTCCCTGGCACGGTGTGCCGTGGTGGAAGCCTTCCTTAGGGACATGCAGGCAGAGCTGCTGGGCGCCAGGTGGGTAAGGGATGGAGAAATGATCCCTCTGGAGTTTTGTCTCGATGCTCCCAGAGGCAAAGGATGGTGAAGAAGCTCCCTGTGGTAGGCAGACTGTCACATTACGCTTTCCTCTCCTAAGAAAAACAGGGTAGACTTGTTCTCATGGTCTCTGTATCCCAGTCCCTCCTTGCTCCCAAGATCCCTGACCCACTGCCCAGCTTACTCTAGGCTGGGCAGAAAGGCTGGAAGTTCGGGAGCCAGTTGGTAGAAGAAAACAGCAGGACTGAAAGTCCTGCAGACTGGAGCTGGGATCTGATCTCCAAGGAGATTCTGACTTTTGGATGCTCAGCTGACCCAACCTCCAGGTGGAGATGCAGGAGATGCTGTAAATACCACCTCAGATCATGGATCTGAGGGTGCTTCTGGGTGGTCAGTCTTGAACCACATTCCCAGCCACACGGCTCCTGGGCTTTGCCTTGTGCACAGCAGAAGTGCTGGACCTTTCAGGGAGGAGAAGAATTGCTGCCTTCTCCTGTTTTTCCTTTGGGATGTGTTTTCGGGTATGTAATGTTTGGGCTGGAAGGCGTGTGAGGCAGCAGTGAGGTACAAAACTGGCTTTGCCATGTGGAGGGAGCACTGAACAGGAGCTGCTCCCAGTGCTTCTGCCAAAAGGGACTTGCCCTGGTAGCAGTGCCATCCATGGTGCTGTGGGGCTCAGAGAGACTATTTCTGGGGTCTTGAGAAGGAAGAAACTGCAAGATAAGACCTTCCCCTGGACAAGCTACAGCACTGGGGCATTGCTAGCTGGTGGGAATGAAAGTGTGATGTCCTGCCTGCTGCTGGCTCTTGTGTTGCAGCACAGCCAGGTTTGGATGTCTTCAGCATTGCTAAGAAAACAGGCAAAACCACCACTTTTTAAGCTGTGAAAGCCAGTTTATATCTGCTCTTCACCTCCCTTCCCAGCAGAAAGCAAGCCAGGCTCTGCTGGGAGGTTTGAGGCTGGGCTGTGGGGTGGTGCAGTGGGAAGGCAGAGCTGTCCCATGTCACCTCCAGACCATGTCCCTTCTCTCTTCTGAGCAGTGCTGAGCAGCTGGAGCTCAGGACACGTGGGGCACGGCTGTATTTTCTCACCGGCTTCTCCCTGCCTTTGAACAAACACACCTTTGTTTTGGAGCCCATTGGCTCAGCTGGATCCTTTTTTTTTTTTTTTTTCCCCCCAGATCATCTTCCCCACAGCTGAGGGGAAACGTGATGCAATGGCAAACACTTGTGCTCGGGGAGGTGCCTGCCTCAAAGCCGGGTTTGGGGTTTCAGATAACTGAGGGGTGGGTGAACACACAGCTCCAGTGTGGAGAGGACACCAGATTTTGGTGAGGATGACTTCGTATTTCATTTTCCTTTTTCTTTGACTCTGTGTGTTCTCTTAGATGCTAAATCCAAACCTGGGGAAGCTGCCCTGCCTGTATCTCTGCGTATCTTTGGGAGAGGCAGGGTGGAAAACAGCCCAGTGGCTTTTCCATCAGCTTTCCTGGGCTTTGGCAGCTTAATTGCATCTTTAATTGGCTGCTCCATGCTCTGCTGAGTGTCCATAGAAGCAGACAACATCCATAAATCAAACTGTTCAGGCTTCCATCGGTTATCTGATGAAAGTACTGGGGAGGGGAATAACCATGGGGTGCTCATGTGTGCTGACTTCCCTCCCTACTGCAGTTAGACATGGTCTTTCCAAGGGAGGAATTCAGGGAGAGAGCTCCCCTTGTTGCAAAGTCGCCTTTGAAACGCTCTCTCCAAACATTTGCTTTGAGCGCCGTCCTGCTAAATAAACCACCTCCCCTGGGGTTTCACTGTGGGAAAAGCAATCTTTACCTGCCAGCTCCCTGCTCTTGTGGGTTGGAAGGGATATTTCCCTGAGCTGGGAGCTGCCCCTTTGTCTGCCCACCCTGCAAACAGACCAGTACAGTCCTTAAGCCTGGAGCTCTGCTGTGGTTTGAGCAGTACTATATGCCAGCCCTGGGGCACGTTGTATGTGACACTGTTGCACCAAGTGGCTCCTGCTCAGGGAAAATCACATCACTGAGTGTAAAGTGGTGGCCGTGCTGTGACCCAGGGCTGAATGTGCATGTCTGCCACGCTGGGTTTGGGGCATCTGTGGCCTGTGGGGTTGGATTACAGGCACTTCAGCTCACCAGCAATCTGGTTGTTTTGGGATGAGCGTACATGCCATATCCGAGGAGATGGGGTTGCCTCAATGTAGAGTCTCAGGTACCCCTTTTCCTACCAGCTACTAAAGCTGAACATCTCTGGGATGAACTCCCAAAAAGCCCACTTCGCCCCTAGGTGCTTCTTCCAGGACTGGTATTGCCCTGGGATGCTTTCCCCTGGGCTGGAGAGAGCTGCAACAGGGCTGGCTCTGCTTGGACCTGCCAGATACAGTTATACAAGGCTTGGAAATATTTTCGTGCCCCAGCCCTCCTCTGTTGAGTGCTGTGACCATGTTTTGGGTGTCTGCTCTCTGATCCAGGCTTTGTCAGGAGGGCCCTGACTGCTCTAAGTTGTTCTCCCCTTGCCTCCCCAGGTATGAAAGGCTTGGAGTGCTCACCCTCCACCCCCACCATGAACTCCTACTTCTACAAGTTCATGATCAACCTGCTCAAGCGCTTCAGCAGCGAACGGAAACTCCTGGAGACCAGAGGAGCCTTCATCATCAGGTCAGAGCACTCCACCAGCCTCACCAAAGCCCCTGAGCACCCCTGGGGTGGGTGGGACGGGGATGACAGGGTCAAGCAGCCCAAGCACCAGTGGCTCCCTTGGAGCCAGAACCGTTTCCTCAAGCCTCCCTTGCTCTCCAGCAAACGGTTTTGGAGCAAACGGGATTTGCCTTTCACATGTCAAGGCACCATATTTCTCTCTCCCATCCCCAGAGGCAAAGTGGCTCCTTATTAAACAGTGTTGTCAGAGCCTGTTTCATTAAGAAACAGCTAGACCAGCCAGAGCATAAAGACAGGTTTGCACTCAGAGTGCCAAGCCAAGTGAATCCCTGCACCCGGCTCGGCGAGGTGCCCGTCCAAGGCCATGTGTTTCGATGCATGGAGATGTGGAGGCTGGAGAGCCAAGAGTTGTGGAGGCCCAAGGGTTGTGGAGGCTGGAGAGCCAAGTGCTGTGAAGGCTGGAATGCCAAGCAGCTGGCAGGGAGTCGTGTTTAGTGCAATGACATCTGAGGCAAGGGGTACCAGTTCCTCAGCTCGCTGGGAAATAACAGGGTTAACGGTGGAGGCAAGGTGGAGAAATCAGGAAGGAGGTTGGTGGAAGGAGCTGGCAGGAGCCTAGGTTCTCCTCCCTTGCTTTCATGGATGCGGCATCAAAATGAACAGGGAGAGAGCATGAGATACAATCCATGCTCTTGTGGGAGAAGAGAACTGCCTCTCCAAAGGCAGAGGGGTGTGTCAGGTACTGATAAGGGGGTCTCATCACTCAGTGGAAATGGGAAAACACAGCACGCAGAGCTCCCAAAATCTGCAAAGCTGAGCTGGGTGTCATGTTGTACTTGCTTGGGCAGCAGTTTGTGCTCAAGTCTTTGGGCAGCCTGAGAACACACCAAGAAGTTACTGAATACATCCCAGAAGCATTATCTCACTTGTAGTGTCCCCTCTCCTCTCCCTGGTCAGCACAGTCCCTGGGATGAGCCACCCTTGGAAGGGAAGTGGCCCCATGCCATGTTAGGGGAGCAGGGTGACTACAGCAACAGTGAGCCTGGGCAGGGTCCCATTTGAAAGCTCTCCTGTACCACAGCCACCCTAAATTTTCCCCCCAGCTGTGGCAGGGTGAGCCCTGGCTGGCAGGCCCAGCTTTCCCAGCAGCCAGCCAGCGGTGCGGTGGGACTGGCTCGCGGCAGCTCAGCAAGCCGAGGCTTCCTTACCGGTGACTTCATGGCCACCAAAAATCTGGTAAAGCCAAAAAAAAAAAAAAAAAGAAAACCCTAAAAAAATAGATGACTCTGTCCTTTGTCAAGTCGTGTTGTGGCTCACACGGGATAGATGCGGGTCTGGAGCCAAAGTGGTGATTCTGGGAAGGGTGAGCCGTGCCCTCAGGTACCAGCGATTAACTCTGAGACCTGCTGATGGCGGTTGAAGGACTGATGTAAACATCAGCATCTCTGCTGCCTCCAGAAAAAGCAAGATGAGAATAGAGGAGGAAAACTTTTACAGGACTACTCTCTGGCAAAGATCGATCTCTTGCCGGAGAGACTTGGGGAACGTGGGAGCCTCGTGGAGCTATTTTTAGGCGCTTTTCAAATCGAAGCCGTATGTGTGTTCCCACGTTACATCCCTCCCCTGTCCACAAGCCAGCTCAGCTGTTTTGCACAGTGGGGTGGGAAGCCAGCCTCATGTTTGACTTGAGAGATGCTGCTAATGTTTCATCCTGGGCTGGAGGGCACAGGGATGCTTGAGAGACCGGGATAGTGTTTGCTGAAGCACGGTCCTTTCCCACCTCTGGCACAATCTCTTCGCTCTCTTCATACCATTGTCTTCCCCTCCCCTTGGGGACCACTGCTGCCTCTTTCTGCTGACAGCAGACCTGGGAACAGTGAAGCAGAGAAGGAAAAAGACCTGTTAAGTTTAGGCAGTGATTTCCAGCTGAAGGATTAGTGCTCACAGGAAAGAGAAACTGGGGACAGGGGGTTTATTCAAGCAGAGCGCAGCAGTTCTGCCCATCATGTTGCCAGTGGGCAAGTTCAAAGGTTCGTGAGGTCAGGTGGGGGCTCTGTGGTTAAAGGTAGTTTATTTCTAATCCAACTCAAGTTTGTTCATGCCTGGTTGCTGACTCTGAAAGGACTTTAGTCTCTGCTGGTATGTCCTTGGGGTCTTGGAGACAGAGTGCTTGAGGATTGGAGTGGGATTTGAGAGGTGATCCAAGAGATGGATTAGTCTGCTGCCTTCCCCAGTGGGATCCAGTGCAACATAACTACATCAAACCATGGTGTGATGCCTCATCCGTGCCACAGGGTTTAGGATTAGGATCCCCTCAGCCCAAGGGGATCTCACAGAGGGAGAGCCTACCATCATGGTAGAGCCCATATGCTGGGCTGAGCCCCAGCAGGAGGAGGATGAAGGGGAAACATCCAGGAGAAGGCTCTTCAAAGCCATTTAGATGCCTTGTGAATGCAAGGGACCCTCTTTGTGAAGGGATGTGCTGAGGGGACTCCAGTGGTAGGAATCCCCCGAGTCTCAGACTCTCCCGCCCCTATCCCCTTGAGGGAAGAGGGAAACTGCTCTCATGATCTCTTCCAAATGATTTTTTTTTTTGGGCTTGGCATCAGTTTTCTGCATCACAGCTGACAGGGTTCCTTTGGGGGTCTGTCTCTCTCACTGTCACTTGTGACTTTTTTTGGGCTGGAAGCCAGTAAAATTTTTCTGCCTTCAAAACTCAGAATTCTGAGTGCTGCCTTCTCTTCTCGAGCCAGCCATGTTCGCACTGAAAGGTTGCTCCCAAAGTGTTGTCAGAGGCAGGAGCATCAGTGTTACCTCCCACCTTGATAAGCAGATCTGGGACCTTCCACCCTCCTCTCTAATTGCCCTGGCTGGCTGTCCTGGATTCAGCAGAGCCCCAAAGCAAGAAGTAAACACTCCCATTCAGCTGCTGGCCTCCCAACGATGGCTTGGGGCAGCAGAAAAATGCAGAGGAGCTTCCAAGGCATCACATGGCTCCTTGGAGCAGCACAGCCATCCTCTGGGCAGGAACCCTGTGGAGGGGAAAGCTGCTTGGCCGGTCAGAAGGCAGGCAGTGGAGCAGCACTGAGCTTTTCAGCTCACACCAAGATTTACAGGCTGGATTTAATGCCTGTTTGTGGGTACCGGCACTATGGGAGGGGGATTAAGTGAGAGGTTAAGCCCTACCCCATGGACATGAGTGTTGCTGCTCAGAGGATAGGGCTGGCTGGCCTTGGAAGGTGCTGTGTCTCTCCTCTTGTCCCTCCCCATGGCTGTTTGTGCAGTCCCCATGCTGTCCCCAGGGTCAGTCTGAGCTCCAGGAGCTGGTTCAGCTCACTAAGCCGAGCCTAGCACCAAAGCAGCCGGCTGTTTGCTGCTCTTTGAGATTGAGCAGCGAAGGGATTCATGGCTGATATACTTTGCCACAGCAAATGAACCCTCCGGGGTATGGGATGTGCTTGAGTGGCTGGAGACATCCCCATGCATGTCGTGTGTGGATGCTTTGAAGTGCAGGGCTTAACTTTTAAGCCCAGTGAGGCTGTTTTCTCGCGGAGCAGTGGCACCCTGGGGCACGAGAGGATGCCTGAGTCAGCACTTTGCTCCCCAGGCAGGGGCCTGTGTGCAGGGGTTGTCTCAACTTGTTTTATAGAGCTGTTAAACAAACCTCCACACTGCCTGGCACCTTCTCACGGGGTGTTTTCTGAGGTTAAACTGCTTGGAAGAGACCCTGGCGTGACTTTGCAGCCACCTCCTGTGCAATGCTTGTGGGGGTTGTCCGTTCAAGTGGGGATCATCCTTGGCTTTTGAGGGGATACTTGAACCCTGGTGGGGGCGGCCAGGAGAGCTGACTGGTTCTCCATCCACTCTGGAAGACATAGGCTGGAGCAGATAAGGTTGTTCAGCCAATTTGTGGCATTAGCTGGAGAGCTGGAAAATCCCAGGTCTCGTGATGGGGCCGCGGGTTTATGGTTCCAGCAGACGGGAAAAGTTCACCTGTCTGGAAATTCTGCCTGTTCCTTGAGGTCTCAAAGTCCTCCTGGGATGAGGCCAGTGGAGAGCTGGGTAGCAAAGAGGACAGAGCTGAGGACAAACGCTGGCAGGTCACGCTGGGTGCACGAAGGGCTTTGTGGTGATACCCTTCGTGCTGCGGTGGCTGGTCCCCTCTTTTTGGGCATGACAGGACTTTGCTGCCTCTGAGAGTCTGGGGCTGACTGTGTGACACCTGTTTTTCTCCACAGAAAGTAGGGGAAAAGAAGCAAAGTGAGTTTGAACCTACTAACCAGGACAAGGAATCAGAGAGGGGGGGGAGCAGAGGGCCAGCGTGTCCTGTGGAGCACAGACATTCATCCGATGCTCTTGGCAGGCCAGCAGTGAGGTGCATGTTAAATCACTTTTTACTCGGTCTGCCTGGCATTCCCAGGGCTGTGCTCTCCATCTGGGAGAGTGGGAAGGGAAGGGGAAGCCTGCCAGCATCCCAGTGAGGAGGGCTGTGGGGAGGGAGTGGGATGGGGGTTTAGCCGCAGATTTGGATAGTAAGGGATGTATTGGGGATCCTGTGCAGAGCCAGTGGGTGTCTGCTTTGGTGGTGAGGAGATACTGCAGTCCCAGGATGCCACCATACTGCAGTGAGCCAGTGTCCACCCACGCCACCCTGGCTCCCACCCCATCCCTAACCTCATCCTTTCCTCCTGCTGTGCTGTCCCCACTGCCCAGCCTCTCACTGGGGGAGGCTCAGGAGCTGGTGCTGACCAAAACCCTCCTCTTCTCCCAGGCCTGGATGGTCTTGAGCTCCTCTGGACTCACATTTTGCTAGGCCAAACATCCCAGCACCTCCTGATGAGCTGGAGGTGCCCAGTACTGGGATGCACGATCCTCTCCTGCTCCTCCTTCCTTTGGGTGTGCTGATGCTGCTGTGCCCCCTCCAGTTCCCACTGCCAAACCCATGCCCTGAAAATCCCTCTGCAAGTGAAACAGGGCTGGAGGGGGGACACGTGTCACCT